AGTAAACTTATGGATGAAAGATCTCTCTCTCTCTCTCGTTCTCTCTCTCTTTCTCTCTCTCTGCCTTTCAAATAAAATGCAAATAAATAAGTAAATATTGAAAATTTTTATTTTATTATATGTCAAAAATAAAAGATACTATAATATATTCAAATTTCATCATAATTGCTTTTGGCTAAATCATTATCTCCCACTTTTTTTCAACTCTTTCCATAGTGAGAAAAGGAAGAAGGAAGTAACTGAAGCTTCACTTACATTTTCTCTTAGACTATGTAAGGATGTAACCCATTTAAATACCCTGTAAATTTTATTGCATTCATTTTAGGATTCTATGGTTTGAATGTGTTCCCCAAAATTTATATGTTAGAACTTAATCCTGGGAGGTGGAGCATACTAAGTGTTGATTAGGTCATGAGGGCTCATGAAGAGTTCAATGTTGTTATTGCAAGAGTTGTTAGTTTTAGCAAGAGTGGATTTGTTATAAAAATGAGTTGGGCTGTCTCTTCCTGTCTCTCTCTCTCACCTTTCCACCTTCCATCATGTGATGATGAGACATAAAAGCTCTTGCCACTAGCTGGATTATGCTCTTGAACTTCCCAGCCTCTAAAACCATGACTCTGGTCAATCTCTGTTCTTTATAAATAAACAACCTCATCTCATATTTTCTGTTATGGCAGGAACAAACAGACTAAGACACACCACATAATTAAATAAATACTATATTTAAAATAGCTTTGTTAGATATGATTCATATATCATATGATATACCCATTTAAAATATCTGATTCAGGGGCCAGCACTGTGGTGTCATAGGTTAACCCTCCACCTGTGGCGCCGGCATCCTATGTGGGCACTGGTTCTAGTCCTGGCTACTCCTCTTCCCATCCAGCTCTCTGCTGTGGCCTGGAAAGACGGTGGAGGATGGCCCAGGTCCTTGGGCCCCTGCACCCACTTAGGAGACCCGTGGGAGGCTCCTGGCTCCTGGCTTCTGATTGGCGCAGCTCCAGCCGTTGCAGCCATTTGGGGAGTGGACCAGCAGATGGAAGACCTTTCTCTCTGTCTCTCCCTCTCACTGTCTGTAGCTCTACCTCTGAAATAAATAAATAAAAATCTTAAAAAAAAATAAAATATATGATTCAATGTGGGTTTTTTGTTCTTTTAAATTTTATTTATTTATTGGGAGTGAGAGATGGAGAGAGGGAGAGAAGGAGAGAGAGAGAGAGGGAAAGGGAGGGAGGAGAGAAGGAGAGAGAGAGAGAGAGAGAAAGGGAGAGAGAGAGAGAGAGAAGAGAGAGAGAGACTTATATATCTTTCATCCACTGGTCATTCCCTAAATGCCTGCAGTAGCCAGTTGGAAGCCAGGAGCTCAGAACTTAATCTAGATCTTCCACATAGATGGCAGGGAACCAAGTACTTTAGTCATCATTTGCTAATTCCCAGAGCATTAGAAGAAAGTTGAAATCCAAAGTGAGCTGGGACTTGAACCCAGGCACTCTGCCAATATGGAAAGTGGTTATCCTGAGCAATGTCTTAACCTCATGACAAATGCCTATCCCAAGTCAGTGTTTTATTATTATTAAATTCATGAGATTGTACAACCACTATCACAATCTAATTTTAGAACATCTTTCTGTCCTTGAAATCTTGTATAGTCACTTTCTACACCCTATCCTAACTCTAAGCAACCACTAATCTACTTTTTGGTCTCCATAATCAGTGTGTTCCTTGTGTTTCATAAAAATAGGTTCACACAATAAATAGTCTTTTGGAACTAGCTTTTTTTATTTGCCATAATGTTTTCTAGGTTCATCAATGTTGTAGCACATATCAGTATTTCAATCCTTTGTATCCATTGCACAAATTTATCACATTTTGTTATTCATCCATTGGTGAACACTTGGGATGGTTCCAGTTTTGACCCATTATAATGGACTAATGCTGCCATGAACATTCATACAGTTTCTGTGGGCATATATTTTCAGTTGTCTTGGGTATGCATACACCTAAGAGTAGAAATCTGGGTCAGCACTATGCTTACATTTGTGAGGAACTGATAGACTATTTCTAATATATTTGTTTTAAAGAAATATATGATAGCTTTTTTTTAGGGGTGGGGAGAGAGAAGGAGAGAAAAGGGGAGAGAGGAAGGTCATGGTGGTGGTGCCTCTGGGAGCTATAGAGAATGCTCAGCCAAGAGAATTGGGTCCTAGGCTGATTACTGTTACAGGAACAGATCCAAGTTAATCTACAGAAGTGCCACACATTGCAAAAGGTGTTGGCTGTGCTTTGCCAAGCCCAAAGAGTGGCCTAGAATCAGATCTTTCGACTGGGATAGATAGAACAGGAGGTTCATTTTTGACCTTGGAGCAAGATGGAGACATCAACACATTTTGTTTTAAGCTGAGGCAATTGCTGTAAACAAGGGACTCGTTGCCAAGGCTCTCCTCATACCAACTCACTCCACTCAGTGGCAGGCCTGGCTGGAGTAATGTTTTCTGGCCATCTTTGTCCTTTCATCTGCTTAAGCTAGTTATACTGTCACTTTGAGCTTTGGCTCTGCTCTCTCTGGCTCTGATTCCTCTGGAAGGGCTGCTGTCCAGATGTTTAGGTATTTAGTAAATGCACTTTTCTGATACCTTGGCAGGGTTGCTTTTAGATGGGGATGAATATTTGATGCTGTTGGCTGTTGGGAACATGTACGCTGAAATGACCAGCAAAGTCCTTTCCTCAAGCTCCCTGTTGCATCTGATTCCTTTTGTCTGGATAGTGGATATATAGTTTAAAGGAAAATTCATTGACGAGAAGAGAGTAAGCCATGCCTGTGTTTCACTCTGGGCCCTCTGTCATGATTTGTAAGTAAGCTTCCTAGATTATGGAGAAGAATGCTTTATGTGGGTCCCCCCAGATTACAGAGGACAAAACTGCTATTTCAACCTTTTTAGGGGACTCTTCCCTTCTTTGAACCTGCATCTCATTTACAGAAACTCCTATCTACCGTCCATGGCTCTGTTTTTTATTCTTTTTGAGCTAAGATTGTCTCAGTAAATGTTTAGAACATCCTCATATCTTAGAGAGAGGAAAACATGCTCTCAAGGATGCTGGTGGGTCAATGTGGGATTCACCTTCCACCACCATCCCACTGCCTCCCTGGCCTCAAATTTAACCCTTCCCCATCCTGGAACTCTGCAATTCTATCCCCTATTTTATCCAAAAATATCTAATTCATCTTGGGGCATGTGTTCTGGAGCCCTGCTGTCTAAGTTTGAAGGCTATTTCTAATAGGTTTATATTGGTGTACTAGTGCTTTAGCCAACTGTGTCTTGGTTTCTTTTTCTACAAAATGTAGCTAAGGAGTGGGTATTGTGCAGTACTGGTAGTGGGCTGAGCTGCGACCTGGGATACTGGATCCCAGATCAGAATGCCTGTTCAGGTCCCTGCTGCTCTGTTTCCAATCTGGCTTCCTGCTAATGCACCTGGGAGGCTGCAGATGCTCCCCAAAGTGCTTGGGTTCCTGCTGCCCATGTGAGAGATTCAGATGGAATTCCTGGCTCCTGGATTTGGCCTGGTCAAGCCCTGGCTGTTGCAGGTATTTGAGGAGTGAACCAGTAAATGCAAGATCTCTCTTTTTGTCTGGCACTACCCCCTCCCTCTCTGTTTGTCACTCTTTCTTTTTTATACATATGCACATGCATCCTAAAATATAGTTAATGGAGGTGGACATTTAGCCTAGCAGTTAAGATGCTGGTTAAGACTCACATGTTTCATATCAGAAAGCTTGGGTTTGATATCTGGCTCAGGCTCCTGATTACAGCTTCTGGCTAATGCAGACTCTTGCTGGCAACAGGGATGGTTCAAGAAGTTGAGTCCCTGGGACTCACATGGGAGATCTGGGTTGAGTTCATTCCTGTCTTTGGCTCAAGCTGGGGCTTCTGTGAACAACTGGTTCATTTGGGGAATGAATTAGCAGATGGAAACACATTCTGTTCCCCCTGCTTATACACACACACACACACACACACACACACACTTCTGTCTTCCTTCCAGATTAACTAATTTGGTTAATGTAGCAAATTATGGCACATAACTTAAAGGATTCTTGAGTGAAGTAAGTGAAATAATACATTTAAAGTGATTGAAAGTGTGCTTTTCATTAGATAGGGCTCAATAAATGTTGGTTCTTATCATTATAATTTATTAAATGAATGAATGAGGTCTATGCTAATCCCCTCATGGGTCAGGTCACTGTCCTCTACTCTATTACTCCCTTCTCTCAAGAACCATCTCCTAATTTGGGACTGGGAGGTTAGGCTAAGAAGGGAAGACCTATTAGTCTATTGCTTTGGATTGGAGTCCTTTTGGGTGTAGTCATTCCCTCTTGACTGTTAGTCTAGCCCTCTCTGCTTTCATGAGGATTTTGTGGAGATTTGAAAGCATAAACATAATTGTAATCTGGATGCAATTATTTGCTTTTATTTTTCTCTAATCTGTTGTATCATAGATCTTACTTATCTCAACCACTTCATTCATGCAAAAGGCTTTGGACATTGAATATAATTTTGTGAAGATTTCCACCTCCTTTGGGCTTTGGTTAGGAACGTGGCAAACAAAGTTCTGAACAACTCAAAGGGAGGCTTAAGCTGATAAAAATGTGAATTGTAGAACAATTTGAACTTTGCTGACCATTTCACTTCTGGGTATGCAGAACACCATCACTGAGAAACCACTTATGTCCTTCATGGCCAGTGGCCTGGCTGTATTGTGCTGGGGGACCTGGAGGTCCATGAGAGAAGGTGTGTGGATTGTCTACGTCATGGCCACCACTCCTGAAAAGCAGCTCATATATGTGACCTATCCAGGTCTAGGCAGGGCAAAGGAGTGCTCAGAGGAGCCTGATACTTTCCTGCCTCTTTTGGCATCACCTACACATCCCTCCTCCAATTTGGTGAATTCAGGGATGCCTCAGATAAGAGATTACATGAAGTCATTGGTCTCCCCAACAGATATTCCAATGGAGGATGCCATGGGGAAATGAATGACTCCTGAATATTGACACTTCAGATGTGAGCCTTGTGTCATGAAGATGCATGGAAGAACAGTGAGCCTTCTTGAGATCTCTCAACTTATAAAGTGTAACAGCTACCTGTGATGTGTGAGTATGAATCAGAGGTCTGACAAAAGTAGATTGGTTTATAGACTTATTTGGGAAGCTTTTGAAATATCAATTCCTTGGGCCCTAAAGTTTATGATTTAGTAAATCTAGAGTGTAGCATAGGAATCTGATTTAGTAAATCTAGAGTATAGCATAGTCAGGTCTGTGGATGTCTTAATCAGGGATTCCATTCTTGGTTGCACATTTGCTTCATTACCTAGGGAGTTTTAAAATGTGCCCACACCTGGCCTGTACTTCTGGAGACTCAGATTACATTTATTTGACCTGAGTATTCTGTGGATCAATAATCTGTGAAAATTGCCATGTGAATCAAGGAGCAGCTTTATCTGAAGACCACTGAAACATTGGCAATGCACTACTCTTTTTCTTAGGGTGGTGATGGACCACTGCAGGTACCACAGCCAGACACAGTGAGAATGTGAGCTTGAAGGGAGCTTAGAAAGCATTCAGCCTAGTAGTTCCAAGTCCTTCACATTTTGCACACCAGTATAATTCAAAAGATAATTTGAAGAATGATAGAGTTAACTGTTTTTTTCAACTTTTATTTTGCCAACGTAAGATAATAAAAACAAAACAAACATCAACTATAATTTTTGCAGTATTGTTAAATTTTTAAAAATGAAAATAAAGTTTCAATATTACCTATAGTAAAAGACCTGATATCAAGATAAAAGATGATTCTTAAGACTGACATAGTCTTTAAGAAGTCATGGGGGTGGCATTGTGGGACAGCAAGGTAACCACTGCTTGGAACTCTAGCATCCCTTGTCAGAGCACCAGCTCCAGCTGTGGCTGCTCCACTTCTGATCCAACTTTTTGCTAATGTGACTGAACAGGCAGCAAATGATGGCCCAAGCACTTGGGTCCCTGCCACCAATATGGGAGTCCAAATGAACTAAATATTGTGGGCATTTGGGATGTGAACCAGAGGATCGGAGATCTCTCTCCCTCTCTGACACTCTGCCTTTCAAATTAATTAATCAATCTTAAAAAAAAAAAAAACCCCTCACTACATAGCCCCCAGGTTTCCTTAATTCAGCAAGACCTTAAAGGTCTACAGACCAGGATTGTTTCAAGAGCGTCCACTTCAAGCCAAGGTCATAATTTTATAAATGAAAAAATTCAGAGCTGGAGAGGGAAAGTACTTGGCTCTGGTCCCAGCAGAGGCAGCAGCAGGGTTGGAACTAGAATTGCTCTCCTGATGTCTGGTGCACCCTTTGTATGGAACACTGATGAAAAGCTTGGCATTCCAGGTTCTTCCCGTTAACATGCATGGGGTAGAGCCAGTCCTCCTGGCCACACCTAAGGATACTTAAAGTGGTGACCTGGAAATGATCAAGGACACGAACTGTGTAAACAAAGTACCACCCTCAAACTTCCATCAGTAGTGCCGCCGCCGCGGCTCACTAGGCTAATCCTCTGATTTGCGGCGCCGGCACACCGGGTTCTAGTCCTGGTCGGGGCGCCGGATTCTGTCCCGGTTGCCCCTCTTCCAGGCCAGCTCTCTGCTATGGCCAGGGAGTGCAGTGGAGGATGGCCCAAGTCCTTGGGCCCTGCACCCCATAGGATAAGTACCTGGCTCCTGCCATCAGATCAGCGTGGTGCGCTGGCCGTGGCGGCCATTGGAGGGTGAACCAATGGCAAAAGGAAGACCTTTCTCTCTGTCTCTCTCTCTCACTGTCCACTCTGCCTGTCAAAACAAACAAACAACAACAACAAAAACAAAACAAAACAAAACAAAAAAAAACTTCCATCAGTGAAGGAGTAAGATTATGTGGTTCTTTTGGGTGACAAGGGAAACTTCCGTGGTTTCCATTGTGAAACAGAGGAGCACATTATTGCTCTGTCACACTAGGGTACTGTGCTTTGAAAGTTAAAATCCTGTGAAGAATTCATTGCCTCCTACGGTGTCCAAACCATCTCTTCCCTTATTATACTATTATTTTTAATAAGTCAACAAATTGGCAAATTCTCTTGGAAATGCTTTGATTTTTAAGAAATGGTCATTTTACACATTTTACACAATTCTTCTGGAGAAGAAAGAAAACAGATTTCAAAATGCATTATCAAGAAATAGGACATTTGAACCCAGTGATCGGAAATGGAGGAGACATGGTGAGCTCCTAGGCTCAGATGTTCAATTCAATATGTGAAGATGATGGAGAATGGACATTGGCAGGACGCTCGCTTCTCCTGGATTACTGCTGGATTGTTGAAGGGCAGGCAGAAAGCCAACTTGGATCTCAAGTCCACCTGAAGTGGTGAAGTTCACTGCCTTGAGCTGTCAGAGAATGAAGGCAGAAAGGGACACACTCAAGAGTCCCCTATGTAACTGACCTTGTGGGTAGGGACATATCCTATTTTGTCTCCTAGCATAGTTCTGGCCCCTAATACCTATTTTGTTGAAATTCAGTAGCTTTTAGAGGCCCAAAGGCATTTCCCTTCATTGAAATCAGGTGACATCTAGAGACCTAGACATAACCAGGGCAATTTTGTGGGGGTGGGAAGAGTGAGGCTGGGAGCAGTCAGGAGGGAGTTGGGTCTGTCACAAAGCCATTAGATGGCTTCCCTGAAAATGGGTCACGAAGGTGCCCTCAATGGGAGGGAGGAAGCCAGAACAGAAATGTCACTGACCTCATAATTTTGCTGAAATCTGACCTTGCTTCCCAAGCCCATCCTTCTAAAACCTATTTCCTAGAGCAAAAAAGCCACAGGTTTTAACACCCCAGCTCCAAATCCCTCCAGAAACTCCTATGGGATCCCACCTACACAAGGTGAGAGACAAAATGAATTCAGTTCCATTTAAAATCGCCGTCTGACTTTCTTTTTGACCTCTTTCCTGATTTCTAATTTAGTCAAATAAACCCATATACCTTAAAGCCATGCCCTGCATCCCACTGGTACCTAAACTCATTTTAAGTACTGACAGGAGGGGGGAAGGGAGCTCCCCTAGCTCAGCTGGCTTCCTGCACTTGAGCTCCTTTGTTGTTTCTCGGAGACAAGCAGGGAGTCAGGACCTTGGCCCTATTGGCTATTAAGAGGATGAAGGAAGCAGGGACGCACGGAGCCAGGGACATTAGCGCATATGCTGAATGTTGACACCAATGTCCTTATTTCACATTGGAGGCTATTAGAGCATGGGGACATCAGGGACATGCCTTAGGTCACATCAAACAGTGGCAGATCTGGGAATCCAACTGGGTGCTTTGAATCCTGACAGCAGCACCCTAGTCACTAGATCACACCCATTGCTGTTGCCTGGTGAAATTAATTTGTCTCTTCCCTTAGTTAAAAGAAAATTCCAGGCTTCCCAACATTTGGCAATAATCCTTTTCTTTTCTTTCTTTCTTTTGTTCATTGTAGGTGTTAAATGGCTTACACCATAGAAGTTTGTAGGGGTTAATTTGGAAAACTGCTGTATGTATGTGTGTATGTGCATGCATGTGTGTGGTTGTGTATGTGTATATCTGTGTCCCTGTGCCTGTGTGTGAGTATTTTGGCTTAGGGGGTTGGTCACTGGGATTGGGAAAGACGAAGATTGGCAGAACTAATCCAGGTGTCAGAGGGCCCAACCCATGCCCTGTATACACATCCAGAAAGACCAGTCCCTCTAGACTGGGATTGGGTGTGGACCAAGATGAGGGCACCACTGCCCTCTGCTGTACTGAGAGATGAATGCTATCGATATGCCTGCTGCACCTTGTCCTCGGCTGGGGCAGGGATGCTGAGGTGGGATAAAAGGCTATGCTTCAGCATGGGGCTCAACTGACCCACTCCTCCTGAGATTGTTCTTAGCTACAGGTGGTGGAGCAAAAGTACCTTGTGCTTGATTAGGGGTGCTTGATTAGGGGTTGAGTTAGTTACTACTCCAAGGCCTCCCCAGGCAGGGTCTGAAAATTCTGAAGTAGCTCTAATGAAACTTGCATTAAATTTCATATTTTCCTGGTCTTGTTGAGGTCAACATTCAGAATTCTTCCAGTACCACCAAGATTGAACAGTTTTTAAGGCAAGTCCTCTGTTAGCCTTTGATCAATCCTCTCATCTCTGCAAACACAGCACCTTGGGGCAAAAAGCCTAAAATACTACTTCCAAATGAGAATACCCCACATTTGCACCATACACTATAATTTGTCAGTTGTGTTCTCATTAACTATCTCAGATGATCTTTAGAAACCTGCGAATTAAAAGGAAACAGCAATTATTATTCTCATTTATCAGATGGGGAAACTGAGGCCCAGAGCTTTGGTAGTCTGTGATTGATGTGGAGGTGATTAGCTAAGATGTAAAAACGTACTTCTAGCTAGAATTAAATTCATCAAGCTTTAGATTAAAATACACTGAACTTCAAGACAAGAGCCAAGCAAAACATCCAGTAATCAACTGGACATTACAAGGACAAAACACACAGCCACACTGGCCAGCCGCTTTCTAACAACTCCAAGGACTCAGCTTACACTTTAGCTCCTGATTTCTGGAGTGTGTTTATAACAAGGTCACCAGAGTTTCATGGTTGGTAGCTGTTTAACAAGTATGTTTCTTTTTTGATAATAAAACTGTTTATAGCTTTTCAGTCTTAACATTTTAAAATAATATATCATGTTTAATAATCCTACTGTGTTTAATAATCCTACTGCAAGGACAATCATTACTATTGCTCCCAAGTGTTGCAACAACTAAGGTTGGAAGAACTTTCATACCTTTGGCAACCAGTGTTTTCTTTGGTGTTCAGTTTGTGCCAGGCAATCTGCTAGTCCAGAGTATATAACAGTAGACAAGACAGACCTGGTCGTGGCTCTCATGGAACTCATTAAATGAGGGAGCAACTACTCAATTAATGAATTTACACTGTAATAAGTGCTATGAACTTGAATCTGGTGCTGTCAGTGTTAATGGACCTCAACTGATTGAAGCTGAAGTCAGATTCCCTGGAGTCTATAGACTAAGTGGGGTTGACTCAGCATGTGGGGTTGAAACTCTGC